GCTACAATACACTTCGTTACATTTGAACACAGACAGCTTTCACTAAACCATTTGACTGAGGAAATTCGATCTTATTTGGATGCATTTCTGAGATATAATCCGATTATGCATCAACTAAAACACAAATACAATTAATTAATAAATAGTCATAATAGCAAATGCAAAGCTAAGATAGAAACGTAATAGTAATAATACTGAAGATAAGAGAATTACTGAAATGATCAATAAGAACGAATAGAACAATAAAATGATAACAATGAGTATGAGACGAGCAAACAGACGTGAATACCTCAACACTGTAAATACTGATTTCAGCATAAATGATTGGCAGCAAAATACTTTTGATATCTTTATTATCCTCGAATAGAAACGGATGAAATGGCAACGAGTTTTGCGAGCGATTCGGAAGATGAGTCACGAATAGACCGTTACTGCACATGTCGCGATCTTCATTTGCTATCATCTCCAGAGATGCATTTTCGATCATCGCACTTCCATCGGTGAGCACCGATGACTGTTCAGAACGTTGCTGAAAATTATCAAACTCCATTCATATCTCACTCTCACATATCAAGCCGTAAGTTGATTTTATTGGCATCATTCATTATTTTATTTCTGAATCAACACAGTCTGAAGCGTAACCACGTAAACAGGGGTGCACCCGAAGAACAATTGTTAGGTAACAAATAAGCTAAGGTTTCAGCTAAACGAACAGTCGCCTTTTCGAAAACGACTACTGAACAGAACTGAATCAGGAGTAATAACGTCCGTATGATAAGTTTCAGAAGCACAGAAAAAATGGGCGTTTTCTTAAGTAAACGAGGATGCGAACTGATAACAAAGCCAACTCGATGTTCTATGAATGTTTTACGCTCGTGATACCAGCGCAATTCGTTGTCGGTTGGTGACGCACTTCGATGCATACTAACAAGAAACTGCAACGTTATCGTAGCACGTTTCAATATGAGTGCATGTTGCTCGTTATCTGATATCGCATACTTTTGCATTTGCTTCAGTATCAAATCTATCGCCTGAAAGCATCACATTAACACACATCGTTCACCAAAATTATGAAACTAAAACGTAAACACTCGCAAATACCGAATCGCACTTAACATTTTCATCGCACTGATTGTGAAGATCATAGCAAAGAATGTCTCTTTTATTAGTGCAATGATAATATTTTAATAATACAATTAATAATAATGAAAAAAAGAGATATAATACCTCACACAGACATAATATTATAATAAAGAGATATAATACGATATAATACCTCGTAGTCATATGGGCACAACGACATCAAGCAATCGTAAAGACGCATGAAGATATTCTCGGTCAACTTCAAAGACTGAAAAGAAAACATTGAAACGAATTAGTGAAATTTATCTCCATTTCAATCCTATAACACAAAACGGAACACATTCGANCGACGCCAGCATTGCGTTCATACATGATCACCCCAAAAAACTTCAAAAATGTGAGAGAAACGAACGAACATCAAACGCTCTCTCGGACATCTCCAGCAATTCACGATGGAGTTTTGCATCTTCCTGTTTCGAACATCTTATGAGCACCTGTAGTGCATATATCATTGTGGCCTCAGTGCTATCAAGTCCAAAATCATCACAGAAACTGAAAATGACATCTTTTTTATAAACATACATCTGATACTATGATGCAGAAAAAAATTGAAATTCCGGTCAGTAAAAGTCTACAAATTACGAATTCAAGTGGAAATATTAGAGTAATATCAAAAAAAAACGAGAGGGAATGCGTGTCAAATGCCACAGACAGAGATGACCGATGAAAAGAATGGAAACAGAGGTAATGCTGAAAGGTTGGCTCAACTGTAAGTATAAAAGTTGTCACAAAAAAAAGAGGATGAAAGCGGGCTCAAATTTTTGTTGCAAATGATTATACGCGCCATTTCAATTTTTTTTAAAG